ACCAGTATTGTTTTTAAGGAAAGTGTATAGACTTTATTATCATAAAGACAAAAAATCTTTTGAGAATGTCTGTTTTTGGGTTGGCAAAAGAATCAGCAGAAAGAGTTTTGTATTTTTTGTACTATAGTTTTTTTTTGCTATTTTCTTTTTGTTTAATATTTTTTTATACATATAATCTTAAGTAAATATTTATAGCTGTTTGATATTATCTTTAATGTATATCAATTTTAATATTATTACTTAGATAATTTTCCATAAGCAAGCTAACATTAAATTTACTGATGTTATCATTTTCTTTGTGTATTAAATCTTCTAATTTTTTTTTATAATATAATTTTTTACAAATGAATAATAATTATTATGAGATCGAACCTCACAAATAAAATCCACGTGATAACTTTACGATATTCTATAAATATACGCGTTACATGGTTGTTAATGATATATAATAGTGAACAGATTGTCGCGTTTTATTACTGGCCTTAATTAGCTTAAACCTTTTCTACTCAGTCTTAACTGTAACTTGATAGTTTATTTACAATGTCTGAAGCATTAATTAAAGACATACCACTTGTTTCAGAGTGGGCTTGTGATTCGAATGAAGCAATAAAGATCAGATTTGGTAGGATTAGATATATGCATCACAAGTCTCATGCCTTGAACCGAAAAAATCAAATAATATTATTGAATGATAAATCATTGCTTTTACTGTTCAGTTGAACCCTCTTTTGTACATGGCGAAAACGAAGAAAATGTGCGCGAATTTTCACCGGACCTAACTTATCAAATGTTCACAAACCAACAAATTTTTGGATATAAAGATTTGAAAATAAAGGTATGTTCGTCTTATTAATTCTTCAAATAAAGTCGATTATTAACCGGGAATCCTTGCCATATTGTAGTTGTATTTTTCATCTAGTAGCATGGCAACGTATTTTAACATTTCATATAGTGAAAAAATACCTGACGGTTCTATAAACCTGGCAGACGATGTTAAAAAGATTCTTACAGAATTGCTTCCTGATGGTATTCACGAATTTATTTTGATTATTATATAATTATATTTTACGTGTTAATGATTCATCCTTTAAATCGAAATTTAAGACTACCTCACAAATTATGATGCCTTCTTACAGAAGGTACAAACTGATGCTGAAACATTCCGTCCAATGGGCGAGAAAATTTCAGAATATCGTCTCCACGAGGATGATGATAAAGTTTACGAGGTTTACAAGGTAAAAATTATACTTAATTTTATATTTTTATTCATTAATTGAAAATTATGTTGCTTATTTTTCTAAAAATAGGCAACTTTCAAAACTCCTCGGTTCAAAGAATTTCATAGAAGATTACGAATATTCGTCTTATTTTATATTGAAGCCGGGTCTTACATTGATGAAGATGAGGATCACTGGGAAGTCATGCTTATGTATGTTGCGTTATGCATTATAGAAAAAGCATTCATTATTTGTTCATTTATATTATGTATTTATCAAAAATTAAATGATAGATTTGAGAAAAAGGTCATCGGTGGTGCCAAAATATATAGTATTGTAGGTTTTTGCACGATGTATCTTTATCATTATCTGACAAGCTCGAAGAATTTTCAAGAGAATCACTCAAATTCCGGCGATAGGCAATCATTTCTCCTGAGCATCAATAAAGACACTCCTATACTTAATAATATTCGATTGCAAATTAGGTAGATACTTCATGAGTTGTTTTTTACAAGCTATCCTTATTTACCAAAAGTTAATTTTAAAATTGTTCTTCGGGAATAGTCAATTTATAATTTTTCCTCACTTTCAACAAAAAGGACACGGCAGTAAGTTATTTTAGAATACAGTTACAAATGGATATGTTGATATTTCTAGAAATTGTGAATTTAACATGTTCACTCTGGCTGGCTCGCATTTTCAAAAAAGCAAAACTTTATCAAAATATTTACCAGTATTGCATAGCAGATCCCAGAATAAAGCAACTCGTTGGTAAGTTCGTGGATAGTTTTCAGTTATAGTATAGTCAAGAAATAGTAGGTTAATCGTTTATTTTTTCGTAGTTGAGGATCCCAGTGAACTTTTTACAGAGATTCGTGATAAGTGTGATATACGATTTTTGAGAAAGATCAAGGTTTTAGAGGGTCTTAAGGCACCTGTCGATAGAACGGTGATCGATGAAATATGGAAGAAATACAAATTTAATAAGGTAATCAAAACGTCTTGATACAATTTATTCGTGCTATATTTACCCCTTTTACCGAATAATACAGAGGCAATTGTGTCGGTGTATAGAAATCGAATTGTTACGGAATTTAAACAAAACAGATCCCGTTGCTTACAAGGCCTATCGATTACAAGTGAAGCAACGATTGTATCATTGGAATAAGGTTTGCGAATTATCATCATTCATAGGAAAAATATACCCCGTTTATGATAATAATTAACAATGATCTTATTAATTCAGGAATTGTTAGATCAAGTTAATAAAACAGAACGCATACAAAAATTGGATGAGGCTTTTAAGGGTATTGAAGAGGAATATCAACAACTTATACTGCGGTTGTAATGAATATTATTTACTACTGGCTATATGAACGCTATTCAATGAATAATTTCTAAAATATATATATAAACGTCACTAGAATAGATTAAATTAGACTATTTGTTTAATTTATTAATATATTGTAATGTGCGTTATTTAATAAATTGTTCATATGCCATTTTCAGTTCCTGTCTGCTTGTGTTTTATTAAAACTTTTATCCAAAATTTTTTAAAGTTTTAGCATATTACTTTTAATGTTTCGTTTACAATTTCTAGATATTAAAAATAAAATAAATAGAATTATAAACTTAATTTAAATAAATATATAAATAACTATTATAAAAAAATACTAATTACAAATTTTTTGTTTTTTTTTCCTATCAAAAAAAAATTAAGAAAATTTATTTAAATAATATATATACATATATTCTTTTTTTTTTTCCCTCAATCAGATTGGTGTTGTTTATTTATTAAATCAAAATTAACCATTACAAATAAGAAATTGTATATATAAATTTCCTCAATCCAGCTCATTTGTCTGTAATATAAAGTCTTTATGCAATTTATGAAGATGATATATTGCTCATTTATTAATTAGGATTAAGATTCCATTTGTTTAATGGAGTCAATGCCTATAGATCATCTCTACAGATCAAGTACTATAAACCCAGATTGAGTTTTTATTTTAACGCAAGCCATTTTGATCTACTTTCTATAAACTTCTATATTAACTTTCTGATCTTGTCTATCTTAACTAAATAATTCTCTGTCTTATATATTAGTTTTTCCTCACTTTTTTTTTCTTTGTTATTCTGAATATTTGAAAGCTGGATCTTAGTAGAGCTGCTATTATCTATAAATCTGAAAATATAGTTTCCAAGACTGAGGTTCTAATCCAGTTTAAGCTTTGCTAATAGTGAGGATGTAATTATTATATCTGATACATTTTTAAATTCTGGTTATTTTGAATTTTTTTTTATTTTTAAATTTAGACCCATAATTTGATCAGCTGTTACTGTGATGTTACACTTGTACTTTTAAGTTAGTTTTTGAAAATGTTTAAAGAAATAGAACATGGTTTTGCATAGCAGTTGTCAAGTTTTGGATTGAATAATTTTGATGCTTATATGGTTGTGAAATTCTATAATCTTTTTTTCTGATATTAGTCCAATTGCAAAATTCAATTTCTCTTTTTTTTTATTGAATACTTTTTGGATCAGATATATTATAGCTATGTCTGTTTTGACCATATTCATTGTATTTATTAAGCTTTCATAGAATTTTATAAGATCTTTTATAAATCATTGCATAGCTTTGGACCATGCTTTACTAGTAAGCTCTTCTAGTATCAGACATATAAAGAAATATTCTTTTATTTCAAATTTTATGCTATATGCTTTGCAACTGTTGTATACTTCATACAGTTAAGACTTTTTTACTTTAGATCTGTTTAGTGTTAATAGTTTGTTGTATAAAGGTTTGATTCTGAAGTTATTTTTTCTATTTTCTTTGAAAGATATAATTAATTCATTTAGCTTGAGATTATTTTAGAACTGTTTTCAAGTGAAACTTCTTTGATAACCAATCTAATATCCTAGAAGCTGTCATATTTTTCCAGTTTCCATTCAAGCTTTTAGGTTTGCTGTTTTATTAATTTTCTTAACGAAATATTTTTAGACTGTGCCTAATATCTTATTATATCAAGTGGTAGTAGTTTATATATATTTACCATTTGTTAAAAACTATATAATTGCTGAAAATTGGATGGCTTGTTTGGTAAGTTAATCTTTTTGTTTGTTATATATATTATCAAAATATGCTTTTACCTTAATAAGCTTAAGCTTAAGACTTTTTTTTCCAATAGTTTTCAAGATATTATATAAAATTAACCAGTTGTTAATTTTGAGCCATTTTTTATAAGTCAGCTTGGAGTTAGCTTTAGAGATTGTAATAAAGATATTAGTACAATTTTGACTATCTGTGTAAATGATAACCTTCTTTTCTTTTGATACTGTAAAGATTGTTATCAAGATAGCCATGATCTTTGTTTTACATGATAATAGATAATCTTAAACTCTATACTGGAATTTGCAATTGGATGTAGGTCCTTGAATTTGAATATATGCAGTATCTATTTTGGTTTCCTCTTTTCTCATTTTCCTGTTTAGTAAGGATCTATCTGTATAGAATTTATATTAATGAATTGTTTATATAACAATCAGGTGTATTGGGTATTTGTTATTAAGTAAAGCTTTTGTAAAGTTTACTTTGTAATCTTTCAACTTGACTACTTTCTTGATTAATTCTATATCCCAATTTAGTATTGTAATCTCCTGCAACTTGGCTCTTTTTATATAGTTAAATAATGTCTTTAATGTTGCCAGTACTCATTTTTCAAGTATATAGAAGTTGCAGGAGATTTTTATTACTCAGGTTCTATTGTTATTATATATTTTATTTAAGAAGTTACAGTCCAAGATATTCTTTTTTCCTATCTTGATTCTGTTTGAGACTTTTATTATTGAATTTGTCTAGAAGCTACTTGAATTATAGATGGATTTGATGTTGGCTGTAAAAATAATTTCTTTTGATTCAGATATCATATAGCTGTAATAAAAAAGTATGGATATTCTGTCTGCTGAATTATTTTTGTTTGTATTTTTTTTTATTGTATTTTATTTTATTTGTTTTTAAATACATATAATTCCTTGATTCTTTTGTCTAAGAAAACCTTGCTGAACCAGTGTACGCTATTTTTTTTTCATGATCTTGATATTCAGTTGTCATTGAGCTTAGGTTTTTTGTTATTTGTAATTCTTTCTTTAAGCTTATTGTACTATTGTGAAGTATGTCTTTTGTTTGAACCTGAAATTATTATAATAAGGTTCTAATTTAATAAAATCCCAAGTTTTATATTAATCAGTTGGTCTATATACAGTATATAAGTTATCTGTTCTTAAGTAATTGAATGGATTTTTTATACAAATGGTCATTACTTAATCCATTCTTGATAATGAAGAAGCCTCCGGCCTATTGGAAGTTATCTTTCAAAAGCTTATTTTGAAATCTGAAATTCATCTTGTTGACTAGTTTAAGAACTGTAGCTGCAAGATTGCCCTTGCTATCAAAGGATTCTGAAATGTTTTCAAAAAGGATATTGGTTGATTTCCAGTTTTTAAGTTGGACCTGTTTGAGTCTTATTACTATTAATTTACTAGTAGCTCTTCTATTATTGAGTCTATTAATGAGTTCTATGATTTGTGATTCTGTCAGAATATTCCATATGTGTTTTAGATCAAAGATTTTTTTGTTATAGATAGCATTATTAAAATAATACTACAAACTTTTGCTTTATGTTTTAGTAGAGTTCTTAATGGTACTATTTTGGTATCAAGTTGGTACTGGATTTATTATGAGTTTAATATAGTGGGTCACAACTATACATGTGATATAAATTATTTGCTATTGATTCAATTCCCAAAATCCTCAAAAATGATTATGTCATGACTCAATTATTTATATGTTTTAATAGTGACTCAAATAATTGCGTCAAATAATTGTGTCAATTGCATCAAGGATCTATAAATTTCAACAACATATATAGTCACAATCCATATATTAACTTTATTATAAGTCAGTACCAAATTGGTACCATTTCGGTACTCGGTTCAGAATCCTATGTTTCAATATCTTTCTATATAGCCTTGTAAGTTTTTTATATTTTTTTTATAGAATGTGACAATTTTATATTTTGTATTTGATTCTTAGAGTAAGAACTTTGTTAAATATACTATACAATTTTTTATTTATAAAAAAAAAAATATATTAATAAGGAATTCAATCGCCATCATTATCGATAATTAGCTGACAACGGCGTTTTATTGATTTAACAAGATTAGCTAAAATATCAGTTGGAATTTTTTGCCATTCTTCAATCATGAAACATTCTAACT